GCGGTGACAGTGGCGAGACGACGGTCTTCGTGCAGCAGCGCTTGTTCGCCGAAGTAGTCTCCGCGGCGTAGCGCCCCCACGCGCCTCTCGCCGCCGTCACCATCGCGCTTTGTTACCGCAACCGTACCACCGCGGATTATGTAGAACTTGTCGCCGCGGTCACCTTGCCTCACCACCGCTGTTCCCGTTGAGAAGAACTCCTAGATCCACACGTTTATGTATACTCTAACTACTACAGCTATGCCCTGATGAATTAGGAATGGATGGTAATTTGGTGATATCCACTGGCAAAATATTGTTGCACGTGTGATTTGGTTTCGACAGAGAAAAATTGCGGTACCCTCAATTGTCAGATGTACTTTGTCATTTGTGGTTTTTACTTATTTATAATTTAAATAATAAGTAATGAAATTGTACAAATGTATCTATATTCAAACATCGCAATAAATATCTACAAACTAGACAAGTTTTTGCAGCTGTGTTTGCATATGTTATTAAGTCATTGTAATATGTAAATATTGTCATACAATTAACATTTCAATATACGTATTTCCTTCGTATTTATAAGTGAAAAAAACTTCCTAATTACAATCTGCCAAGATTTCTTTTGTGAATCACAAAATGGTGAATTTATCGAAAACCTTAAAAAACTTATTACGCTTACATATGAGTTTCATTGATTTCAAATTTAAAATGTTTTAATTCTATTTCCTAGTCTATTTGATACCCAACTATTCAGGAAGAAACATACTTACATGTTTTTAAAAATTAGTAAAATGAATAATACCCGCTTATTTGACAACATTGATTAAATTCCAATTCAATCAATGTACAATCTTGATAACAAAAAATCATAGATATCACTAAATACATACATTCACACGCATTTTAAAAAACACAGTATTCCAAAATAAAAGTATCACAAAATATTTTAAAAGAGAAGAATGAAATACAACTAATTATAACATTATATAGGTCTCAGATTTTTTAACTTGATTTGCAGACAGACAAAAAACATTTGAATGTCGTTAAGTGGTCTTCCTTTGTATAGATTTAATACGATAAAAACACACTGTACTCACTGACCGTAATCGCGAAGAAGATTAACTGTCCCGTAATATTTTGTGTCTAACATTTTGATTGGGTTCGTAATCCAAAGCCATCTTTTAATATACCAGTATCGCCATCTAGTTTCTGAGACATTAAACCTAAGTCCAATTAAGGAGGTAAGCATTAATAATTGTACCTACCCGTTTTAGGAAGTCAGAGATCTTGGCGAGCTCTATAGGGTGGATGTCCCTCAAGAGAGGCACGGATGCCAGGAATCGGATGTTGTCCTCCTGTTCCTGACGTCCACTCCTCACCATTATCTTCTGGAAAACTCGTCGCTCCAGGGTCCATACTTTTGCTTCTGTTATACCTAGACAATAAGAAACATAAATATTTCACTAAGCAGTTAAGTTTGTGTCATTTGTATAAATTATTTGGTAAAATATAAAGGTCAAAAATTTCAATGAAAAACGTGCAATTTGAAAACGACATATTCTCACATAAAAGTAAACCGCAGCTAAAACCGATGAGACCATAATTATCATATCAACATGTTATCTTGTTTGTAGTTCATTAGCAAGATTAATTTAATTTCAATGTATAATTTTATAATAAGGATTTTTTATAACTAAACACTTTTTAATAACATTTTTAAAACATGACTTTAAAGTCTAACTTACGGATTTCAAAACCAAACATGTAAACCTAAGAAGATGCTTTACACGGAAAAAGTAAATAAAAACGTGTTCCTTTTCTACCAAATTTCAAGGAAAAAATGTTTTCGATAGGTAATAAAATATTGACTCATATTTTTATTTAAATGTACGACTTAATAAATCGACAATACTTCTAAGATTGTTGCGTTATTGTCATGATTGGATTAACTTATTAAACGTACATTGATTATAAAATAAGATAAGACGTCATTTAAGTATTAATGCATACGAGTAAACAATGTCTTGAGTTGACTAAACGTTAGGGATTAACTTGTGATTTATCTCTATCGCAAAGGTGTAGAAATCCCGATTAAATTTTATTAAATGTACAAGTGAACGCGTTCACGTTGCGATGTCATGATACTTACATCTGATGGAAGCAAAACGTTTAGCTTTGTATAATATGGCGAGTTCCCCAAACGCTTCCCCGGGGCCGAAGTTCTTAACAACTTGTCCACCCTTGAGGACTTCAAAGTTCCCGTGGGCGGAGACGTAGAGGTGGCTGCCACTCTCGCCTTCCCGGATCATGAGGCTGCCCGCCGGGAACTCCTGGGGACTCATCCCCTCTACAACCGCGTTCAACCGCTCCTCATCCATCAAATTCTTCAAGAAATCGTTCGCCATGATCGCTGCCTTTATTTGTGACACTGATCTAAAATAAACATAAAATAATTTATTGATGAATGCAAGTTATCTGAACTATTTATGGATAACACTTGCAGTTTACAGGACGATCCTACGAGCTTAATTTGATATTGCTTGTGGAATGTAGACTCGAACCTACACTCTCAATAGGAGTATTACAAGATACCTAATCCATGTTAATAACTTAAACTAAATTTTATGGTATATTATATCAACTTACTTGGCATCCTTTTCAAATTTGTCATACTGTAGATCTATACTAGTGCGCACGTTGTCTAGTG